CTCTCTCTTCTCTCTTCTCTCTCTCTCTCTCTCTCTCTCTCTCTCTCTCTCTTCTCTCTCTCTCTCTCTCTCTCTCTCTCTCTCTCTCTCTCTCTCTCTCTCTCTCTCTCTCTCTCTCTCTCTCTCTCTCTCTCTCTCTCTCTCTCTCTCTCTTTCTCTCTCTTTCTCTCTCTCTTTCTCTCCATGAATAACTTCAATTTTCGATTCTCTCTACAATTTTGTTGAATCATTGGAAATTGCACAAACTTTGCTATCCTAAAATGCAAGGCGAAAGTGAGAGATTCTAGCGCGAGTATAAAAGCCCGAGCTGGTCGTCGGCGCCATCATTCCCTCCGCCGCCATGTCCCTCAAGGTAACTAGCTCTCCCGAGGCTGTGAAGTGACTCTTGGCATTGTTTTGAGTGTTTGTTGAAATATCTAGTTTCCGCTTCACACACACATATAATATATATATATATATATATAATATAATATAATATATTATATTACTATGAACAGTAAAAATGTAATGATAATGAAAATTGTGCAGACACACAAACGCACACACACATACATATACAAATGTGTATAAATGTATATATGTATATATATGCATATATACATATATGTGTTTATAGATATATACATATACATCCCCATATACATACATCTATGTATATATATGCATATATGTAAATACATATTTATACATGCATGCATGCACACACACACATATACTAATCACTTTCTTCCTCACACTACACACACATATTATGTATGTATGTATATTTATACAATACACGCACATATACACACCCATATCTATTTATCTATCTCTCTATATGTTATGTATATACGTATGTACGAATTCGCAATGAAAGATAGAGGGGAGACAGTTCATTGATAAAGACATTATTATATCTCCAGATCGCCGTCATCGCTTGCCTGGCTGTTGTGGCCGTAGCTGATCATGCCCCCCACCCCCCTCCTCCCGCCCCCTACCACCCTTCTCCTGCCCCCTACCACCCCCACCTCGGCCCTACCACAGTGAACCTCAATACCCTGATGTAAGTTTTTTTTGTGTTCGTGTCTATACTTCTTTATTGTTGTCTATTGGTTGATTATGTTGTTAAGTACCTCGTGCTGCAGTGCAATTGAGAACATTCTCCCAGTATATGATAAAAAGTAGTGTCTTATCTTCAAGGACAGGAGTCAGCATAGACTAACCCTTTCTGACGCCACCCACACAGGTGCCCCCGAAGTACACCTACAACTACGGCGTCGCCGACGGCTACTCCGGCGTCAACCTCGGCCACTCAGAAGCCCGCGACGGCTACAAGACCGAGGGCAGCTACTCCGTCGACCTCCCCGACGGCCGCAAGCAGACCGTCAAGTACGTGGACAACGGCGACGGTCTCGTAGCTGAGGTCAGCTACGAGGGCGAGGCTCAGTACCCCGCGCACACCCCCGCCTACAGGCCCGCTCCCCCCGCCTACCCTGCTCCCCATGCGTAGATATACATATGAACAGAACAAATCCAGTCATTCCAGTGCCATCTTTCCATGTAAATACATATGATTGTTTTATTCGCTTGAAAATGTTCATCAATAAATGTTTACTCCTTTACTTCACTTCTTTGTTTTACCAAGACATAAATCCTCTTTCACGACAGTCATGCATCGCCAGGCTTCAGGGCGACTTTCCGTTTTAACAGAAGCAGCAGAAAAGGAAAGGCATTCCTTTCTTTTTGCATTGTTAGTATGAGTTCATAATTCAGACCAAGTATTTAAACCAACATCTAGAATAAAATTTTGATTAATTTCATACTAATAAGAACTACGCAGATGCATACACAGACACACACATACACACACAAGTGTATATATATGTATATATATATATATATATGTGTGTGTATATATATATGTATATGTATATATATATATGTGTTGTGTGTGTGTGTGTGTGTATGTGTGTGAATATTTATACATCTGTATCTATATCTTTATGTCAATATAAACATATCTATCAGTTTCCATATATGTATATATACACGCACACATATATATACATAGACACACACACAGACACACACACACACACACACACACACACACACACACACACACACACACACACATATATATATTATATAATATAATATATATATATATATATATATATATATATATATATATATATATATATATATATATATATAAACACATACTTGCGTATATGCGTATACTTCGATAATATCTGTAATATGATTTCAACTTTCTTCCAACAGCTCAGAAAAGGGAAGAATAAGCATTGTTGTATATAAATGTGGACGCATTGTACTGTAAAAATAAACAGTCTTCAGTGTATGTAAAGCTGCTTTTGAGCTTGTCATATCGAGTACAATGGCCGCCCTGAGACATTTCTGAGCTGGTAGTATCTCTGGTTCTTCACATAACCCGGCCATACGGTCGCCCTATTTTTATTTATATATACATATACATATATATACATATATATATATATATATATATATATATATATATATAATTATATTGGGGGGGGGGGAAATTATTCAGGACAAAATGATTTTCTGGCGATTATGGTCTATACTTCGAAAATAGTAACCATATGCGGCAGGTTGTACCTGACCGTCATCAAGCGACTGCCGGGGTAGACTATGTGCAACAGGTAGTCTCCCATCGTAATAATGTTACTGCCAGCCAGTAGATCACACAGAGAAGAAAATTGGCACATGGAATGGGAGAACATGGCGGAGAGTAGGAAAAGTACACAACGTAGCTGCAAAAGCGAAGAGATTGAAAATAGACATATTGGGTCTCTGCGAGGTCTGCTGGCCTGGAGTGGGTCAAATGACTGTGGAGGGATATGAATTTGTTTATTCTGGTAGTGATTACCATACATGAATAGGTATAATGATAACTACTGAAGTGGAAGGGTACTGGGCAGTATCAGACAGGATAATAGTTGCCAAATTGAGCTCATCCTTTCATTCTTTGTATTATCCAGCTATATGCACCAACAGGCTGGGTCATAGAATATAGTGTGGGTAATGGGTGACTTAAGACACTTTATTTATTTATTTTTTTTTAATGGGAGAAATTTGTATTTTTTATGGTTTGCATGGGAAAAAAAACGTCATATTATTTAGCATTTATTACACGAGATATAAAAATACACATTATATAAACACATGAAAATATAACGTTCACATTAAATAAAAACACACAAAGAAATATTACGAAATAAGTTCATAGGGCAATAATGTTCACGATTCACTCACACTTTCATTGTTCGTTTACCACTTCACTGTTCATAGTTCGTTATTTTCTACATTAAATTTTCATTTCATTTGATACCGCACATTATATACCATCCTTATTAGCATCTTCGTTCTTCATCATGCTTGATCGGCATCATGCTATGTGGGTAGTCTTGAGTAATCAGCCCACAGTTCTAAAATGACAAAATAAACCAAATACAATTTCTGACCATTTTCTTACCTCAAGGTAGAAATCAAAATAAATTATTTATCACCAACTAATCAATATAGATTATATTCCATCAACCTAATTCACTTATCCTATATTCAATATAACCACAAATTACTACATATCTATAAGACATACCTTATAGTTTTGATTATAGCAAATATCAGTAGCCGACGTGACTAGCGTGGCCCACAGCTCGGGACTACCACACTCCTTCGCCTAATTATCGTGACGACCTCTGCTAAAAAGAGCTCTCACCTTGCTTAGGCCTACCAAGACAACTACCCCATCTACCTATACCACAAGCAACGGTGACGTCACGCCCGCAAACAGTCGTTACACTAATTAATGATTTACAGATTAGTAAATGAGATGGTATGACAATATGTGTGTATGTGTAAGAATGCATATATGCAAAAGTGTATATATAGATACTAATATATATGTACACATACGTGAAAACATAGTATATATCATATACAGATATGTGTGTGGGCCTGTTTATTGTGCATAGACTGACAGGTGTGAGAATGGAACTTAATTATGCCACTGCACTGGCACTGTGGACCATACGATGAATATCTAAAAGTAAATTAGAAGTTCCTCTCATGATAAAGAGCCGTTCGATACCACGAACAGCCGCCACAATACTCTATGGAAGAAGTCAATGTCTTATCACATATATTCCACACGTATTCAGCCACCAAGGAGGCAGTCCAGCATGACCTCAAAAACCTGTTTTTTTCTTGTTATTGAAATCAGTAAGGTCATTATTATTGTTGACATTATGTTTGACACAACGTTATGAAGTTGTTAATAACAATACCAAATAACTGAAAAAAGGAAAATCAATCATTAAATAAAACCAATCCTATAAATACCTTGGGTCAAACAAAAGACAAACTTTACACAATCAAAAGTTTATTGATGCACAGAAAAAAATGGCAACAAACAAATATGAAGATGGAAGATGAATAAGTCAACTTGAGAATGATTTGCTATGTCGTCCAACATTCTTAACATGTCTACGCATGGGGAGCAGGGTAGGCAGGGGAGCAGGTAGGCGGGGGAGCGGGCCTGTAGGCGGGGGTGTGCGCGGGGTACTGAGCCTCGCCCTCGTAGCTGACCTCAGCTACGAGACCGTCGCCGTTGTCCACGTACTTGACGGTCTGCTTGCGGCCGTCGGGGAGGTCGACGGAGTAGCTGCCCTCGGTCTTGTAGCCGTCGCGGGCTTCTGAGTGGCCGAGGTTGACGCCGGAGTAGCCGTCGGCGACGCCGTAGTTGTAGGTGTACTTCGGGGGCACCTGTGTGGGTGGCGTCGGGGAAGGATATGTTAAAGGACTCCTATTCTTCGGAGGTAAAAGTAAGGATAGTCGATTTCAGTATCTGATATCGGAAGGATGCGTTTCATTCCTTAAATGTCACAGGAAACATGTCTTGAGTAAAATTGTAATAACTAATTGAGTTAGACGAAAACACTCAAAAGGACTTTCTAAGGAACAAAAACAAGATGAATGTAACAATTTTTTACAATCAAGGGATTAACGAAAAGGAACTTACATCAGGTAGTCAGGTTCGCTGGTAGGGCCGAGGTGGGGTGGTAGGGGGCAGGAGGGGTGGTAAGGTGCGGAGGAGGGGGGTGATCAGCTGTGGCCACAACAGCCAGGCAAGCGATGACGGCGATCTGGAAATTGAAAATAGGGATTACATTTTCCAATGCGAATTCATTTTTTCAACTTGAAATTTTTCAGGCCTTGACATGATAATGTAAGTTATATTGCAGGAAACTTGTGCACACACACATATGTGTGTGTATGTATATATGTGTGCATATAAACATACATACTCTCAATAATACATATATGATATTGTATACATACATATATATATGTATATATACATACATACATACATATATAATATATTATATACATGTGTGTGTGTGTGTGTGTGTGTGTGTGTGTGTTGTGTTGTGTATGTGTGCTGTATATATACCACATACATCATATACATATGATATAATATATATATATTATATACATATATATTATATATATATATATATATATATAACACATACATACACAATACACATCCATACGCATTATATACTAATATAAATAATATATATATATTATTATATA